CCCCAAAACCCCAAAACCCCAAAACCCCAAAACCCCAAAACCCCAATAGGATAATTAAAATACGGTGATTGTTTTTTGAATTCAAATAAAATAAAGATTAATATTTAAGCGAAAAATGGGAGCTAAAAAGGGAAAAAAGGGTAAGAAAGGCAAGAAGAAGGGTGGAGCCGATACCGAGCCCAGTCCAGAGGAAAAAAATTTCATCTATCAGGCTGAGATTGAATCTTTGCAATAAAAGCTAATGATGGAATCCCAGCGTGCAGATGTATCTAAAGCATCTGAGAATGAAAAAAGACATAGAGAGTTACAGTTAGACAAACAGTTAAAGGATGAGGAAAAGAGAACTAGGGATATTATCGCAGATATGACTAGATAATACAAGTCTATGTTTGAGGAACTGACAGAAAAGATTAATAAGCTTGAGAGAGAAGTGGTGGATAACGATGAGACTATATCAGATCTAAAGGAGTAATACGAGAAATTAAACAATGAAAAGTTAGAGATTGAAAAGGCTAAGAATGAAGAGATAAAGGAACTTAAGAAGAGAATTGATGATATGAGTAGTGATTTTGCAGAGATGTTAAGAGACACTTTACATAAAATGCAAGAGAGAATTGAAATCGCCAATAAATAATGGGAGGAGGAAAATGATGCTAATATGCTCAAGAGATTTGAGGATATGGCATTAGGAAATAAGCCAAACTGATTTAGAGAACTATTTCCTAATGAGTTTAAAGAAACCTTCATCTTAAATCTCCTCTTATATAGTCTAATTGATATAGTATGTTTATTGATAGTAAAGCTTCAACTAAAACATATTTAATTTCACTCTTTTCTCTAAGATATAATTTACTTAATAATAAATAATTAAAATTATTGACAGAATTGAATGAATCAAATAGTAGATTAAAGTGCTTAAACTTAAACCCTCCTACCTTCTTTTAAGTATTAGGCAATAGAAATAACTCTCGAGGGAAAAAGGGAACCTGAGTTTGACTAATAACAGTCAACTGAAAATATTACAACTCCTTCTCCATAATAAATTGAGGAAGTTGATGCCCAAAAACCTACTAAGAATCATCAATCTTTTCCTAGAGGTAAGCAATCACCATAACTTAATGATTATTTCTGAAAATAGGCAAGAAGCTTTTATAGACTCTCAGAATTCTTTCAAAGAATCCAGTTGTGAGGTATGAACACTCCATAATAATTTATTTAGGATAGCATAGCCTGAGTATACGTAATTAGAGTAAGCAGTGAAACAGCATAAGAAAAACTCTCATCAGATTGCAAACCCTTAATAAATTTTGGGCAAGAGACTGTAAGACGCCTATTACTAAAGCTGACTATTAATAGTAAGGGCTTACCCTCTGAGACTGAGACCAAGAAAAGGCAGAGGTTGTTGGAGATTAAGGATCAAGAAGGAGGAAAGAAATGTTTGTCTCCCTCAATTTTTAGAAAAAGTAGAGGACCCATTATTTTTGCAGTGCAAAGTTCTAATTTCACTTCTCAAAACGGAAACTTAGATGTACCAGTTAAGACTGGATCATTAAGCTCCAAGAGAATAGATGGAAATTAGGTAGCTAAGGAACTTAATCTTTAAGATTTCGATATAAATTTGTGCGCTGAGCCAAAAGACGTGCATCGTAAGAATAACCACTTAAAAATTATAGTGTAATCTTACAAATGCTTTGACAATTATCTTGGAATGGTATCTTAGTTATATTGTGGGCTTCCTCTTCCTTAAAATCTTGGCAAAGGTAGGCAAGACCCCCTAATGATTCATCTTGGATTATAAACAAAAAAATAGCAATAAAATTAGTAAAGTGGCACCTTAAATGGTGGATCATCAGATCCCCAATTATCGAATTAAAAGATTGAAGCATCTCAGGAGGCAGATTAATAATAAAGTTCTAATAATTACTATCGTCCTGCAAATTATTCTAAAGATGAAAATAGGTTTAAATTTACTACATTTGACGAGCTCATAAACCCACTCCGAAGTGATCATCCATTTGGTAAGTAATGTGACACAATCGTTCATTTTAGTTAAATTATTTCTATTTATTTCTATTTAACTTAATAATTAATGCCTAGAATTATGGGCACCCAAGGAAATCGCAATATTTGAAGCTTGCATATGTCGATATGGAAAAAACTTCGATAAATTTTCACATTTTGTAAAATCATTAAGATTAGCTTATAATGATTGAATAGATTAAGACGAAGTCTCAGAAAGAAATAGTCGATTTCTACTTTGCTTGGAAGAAAACATCTCATTATAGATGCTGGAAGAGTAAATAAGATAAGAGAAAGGTGACTGATAATTAGAATGATTGGGTCTTCTAATGAATTGGAGGCATAAATCAATAATATATAAATGAATTAATGATTAGGTTCCCTTTTATGATTCCATACTATCTTCATTTAAACTAATTTTTTTTCATTATTATATTCTCTTCAAATTACTATTAATTTCTTTGAGGGGTTTTGGGGTTTTGGGGTTTTGGGG